TCAGATAATGGACCGAGAGTTGGGGCGGTGGGGGGGGTGGGGGGGGGACATTTGAAGTGATTTGTAACACCAACCTAGACAGAGTGGAGGAAAATGTTTCTCAGGAAACTCAGGAATGAAAAATGAGTTGACCAATGGGGAAAAATATCTACCAAGATCATTTTGCCTGTTTGATCTTTATGTGCAGTCAAACCTTTGGAGGTTGCCATGTATGAGTTCTGTCTTCTTGGGAGCAATAGATTTTTGAAACTTCTTGAGCCACAAGTGTTGTGCCACAATCTCCAATGTCCCTGATCAGCGTAACCAATGGTGAGAGATGCTAGAAGTTGTAGTTCAGCAGTATATGGAGGGCCATGTATCCATATCATAAACATTTATGTCACACTGTCTTTTGTCCTGAAGAACACATTAGTTTATGAAACGTTAATTGTAACCCTAGCAAACATACTGATATTGCACTGTGTGCCCAGTAGTTGTCTGTTTCTTGATCAAACAGGCTAAAAGTTTCCACCAGTTTCCACATACTGTTTTTCATTCCCAATCTGTGACAAGACATTATTTTGTGTCAGTTCATCAACAGTTTGTACTACTAATATTTGTTGGAGAGTTGTATAAAAAGTTCCTTGTTCAATGTTTCTTCACAATTCATCTTTTCATATGTCGGTGTAATACCTCAGGTCTTGCAGCCAGGTGCCATAGGTCCCTGATTAAAAAAACTTTAAGCCCCTTAACCTAATCTAAGATAAATTTCTCCTTCTCCTCCTCTTCTTCTTCCTCCTCTGCACATACATAGTCAGCCCACATTCAGAGATGGCTGTGCAAAAAGCAACCTGCCAATGCAAAGTAAGTACATAAATCATTTGCACCATGACTAGACAACCTGTTACTCTCCAAAACATTTTATCACAATTTATCAGTTCCTTGTTTTTGGTCATGCTGCCTGTGATTGACAGAAGCCCAAAACATCTGTGGAGAACTAGGGCTGTATATTCCGGTATATAGCATAGAACGATTTCTGCCCTAGCTTGTAAGGAAAAATCGGCAGGTTTATGTTATGTTTCACAGCTCTGTGAGCAAATCGGAACAGATTGGAAAATGTCAGCCTTGGTTGAAGGAATTCTGGGTTGTGGATGGACTTATATAGAAGACTAGCCTCCAGAGCAAGGAAAATTGGCAAATCAGTAGGGAAACATGGCAACTAAGCAGCAACATCTATTAAGAGATGGTTTGGATAAAGCAAAGCCCTGTTGGAGTGACTTGAAAATAAATTGGGTAGTCAGTGCTTGAATGGATTGGTGGAGGTTTGTTGTCAATGAGCTGGTTAACAAATTATTGAGAATGGAAAAGGCAATTGTTTCTTCTCTGTAGCTCTCATGTAACTCTCCTGAGGTCCAGTTCTCTGCTACTTTAGATACAGGGTCAGTCGTACTATTAGAGAGAAACTGCTATCTCCAGCAGCAGACACCAAAGGATGTAGAAGGATTGTGAAATCTTGGAGGACAGAGCTGTGTGTGCTTCATGGTCTTTCCTTGTTAATCCTTAGAGGTAAACTGGACAAGAAGCACTACTAATAGAGTTAGTATTAACTCTGAGTACTAGCACTACCTTTATTGTAAGGTTATCGTAACAGAACCTTGCAAGTCTGGAAGTACATCTCTCCCCCTTGTCTTTACAGTCCAAGAAACTAGGGAGGGTCTCTTCTGAGACATGTGGCATGCCCCCATTACCTCTGCGAGCTAAGCTGACTCTTATATGACCATTGCCTAGTCTGCGACTCTTCCCCCTGTCTCTCAAGGACATTCTCAAAGACCGTTACAGTCTTGAACTCTAAGCTAGGTTGTTGTCCTCAAGAGCAGGAAATATTATCCCAGCATTTGTACTGAAGAAAGAGACAACTCCTGGTCATATCCTGTATATGAAACTATAGGAAGTAAAATCTTGTCATTCATCCCAGGTAGAAAAATGTTTTAGGGTTCTGCTCAGACATTATTCTACAAAGAAGGTTTGCAGGCAATGCATAATGGTATGTGGGAATGACCTTGGAAGGCAGAGCAGTGAGACGCAACCAAGGGAATGGTCAGGTAAAAGGCAGCTTAGCCTGCAGCAAGAATATGGGTGGGGCAAGAGGCTCAGAAGAGACCCTTCCTAGTTTTTGGGCTGTAAAGGGGACTGGAGGGGGGAGAGAAGTACTTGCAAGATTCTGTTAATGTAACCTTACAGTAAAGTAGAATTAGCTCATCTGGTTGTGTTTCCTGTCTGGTCTACCTCATATGGCTGATACAGCAGCACTTGAGGTAGAGTTCCTCTTCTCCCATTTCTTTACCTCCTACAGAGTATTACTGCAAGCTCCATACTTGTAGTAATGCTACAAATAATAACGTATGTAGAAAAAAAGCAAACTGGAAAGGAATTTT